ACTGCGTGTCCAATAAGAAAGCCTGCTTGAGGGCCCTGAGGAATTGAGGAAGGGATTCGGAAACAGCTGAGTCTTTGATAAGTGGCGGTAAAGAATTCCATATTCTAGGGAAACTGCGGGTGGGGGAATTAAACAAAGCTTGTGTGTGGGAAGGAAGATGGCAGAATGTGAGCAAATCTGAGTGGTGTGGATTGACAAGGACGTGATGATGATGGTCTCACATTGGCATAAACCATGTAAACATTAAAACACAAATGAGTATAGCAAGTTTTGTCTTCTGGATGATAAGGAGAACCAGTTAAGCCGGTCAAGCCTGTCTTCATGTGTCATCTGACCTCGCCGTTGTTTTAAGCCAATTCGCATTGCTGAATGTTGCACACGCTCACTTTGTTGTTCCGGGGATAGCGTGTGTGGGCCCCAGCAAGGGATGCCATATTCGAGGACAGGTGGGACCAATGATTTGTACAGTGTGAAAAATTCTTGGGTAGATGAACCTCCAGCAACTGATCGAATGAAACCATAGAGGCGATTGACACGAGAAACAATGGTATTAATGTGGGGGTTCCAGCTAAGGTCGGAGCTTGTGGTGATACCTAGGTATTGGACGGAAGAGGAAGCAGCTAAAGGGGAATTACTGAGATTGTAAGTAGGAGGATGAATATTTGTGCATCATTGTACAATGCAGCAATACACCAAAGGACGGTGTATGCCTGCACAGGTTTCCAAAAGACCAAGCATTACGGAAAATCTGGACAGCAAAAGTGCACTTGACCAGGGCAAACTGGGATGGGCTGTCCTCGACAAGTGCCATCTGCAGTGACTATTTTAGCCGATGGCTACAAGAAAACACTCTACGAAGAGTTTGGAATACCGAAAGCACCTTGGCTGAAAAAAAAAAAAGCAATCCCAAGCAAAGCTGTTAAACTTTCTTTAAAAAATCGGCTTCATAACTGATCTCAGAAACGAGAATCTGCTACTGCCGACTCAAGTCTACATGATACAAAGAAAGGCTAACAGTGTATGTGTTACATGCAGATGCGTGGCAAGGTTGTTCTTTACATGACGTCATGATATCAATATCCGGGCATTCAGTGCTGGGGAATTTTTTTGGGGGTGGGGCCAAGAGTGATGACGATGAACAAGTAATATCTCAAATTCAAAACAAGTGTTAACTTTTATACTATTATTTCATAACTGAATGACTACACTACTACTATTTCTCTTACTGGCTTTTAAATTGTTTGGGGAAATCAGGGCCTACATCTGATACACCGCCATAATTGAGCATACATATTTAGGCCTATCCGCATTATTCATGTACCACATCACGCAGAATGGAACCACACCCTGTGAAACTTTGCCTAAGGGTGGGACTATCCATCCAGAGAATGCAAAACGGGGAACGAGATGGGGTTGTGCTCTGTCTGTGGACATGTTCAACACTTTAAAGGGGATGCGAAAAATTGCAATGAAAGCCAAATCTATTACAAAATTCCTTTTTCAGTTTTGTTTTACTTAAACCTGGCAACATGCAACGGATTCTGCACTTGAATGCAACGCATTCTGCACTTGAATGCAACGGATTCTGCACTTGAATGCAACGGATTCTGCACTTGAATGCAACGGATTCTGCACTTGAATGCAACGGATTCTGCACTTGAATGCAACGGATTCTGCACTTGAATGCAACGGATTCTGCACTTGAATGCAACAGATTCTGCTCTTGAATGCAACGGATTCTGCACTTGAATGTACTTGTCATGTGGTTACTTTTCAGGTACACCACTAGAATCAATGGACAAAAATGATCAACGTGCATCTTACCTAAAAGCCCTTTTAACATTTTTTATTCCCAAAACGTATCATGAAAAACCTAACCTTTAGTCTTTATATGTATTTGAGTAAAGAAAATCTGTCAAGTCAACATGACATTGACCAGTTCGGGTCCAAATTTTTGAACATGGTGAAAGATGAAATGATTTCGCTGTCTGTAAAGTATTTTCCATTGTATTACTTATAGTTAAATGCCTGGCTTAACAAGACCCCCAGAATGCTGTACATAAAAGCAAGTCTGGTCCAAGTAAATTTGGCTCATCAGGCTGGTGTTTATTTCTGAATTCCTTGGCATGAAACGACTGGCAATATTTCTATTCCCCCTAGATGGGATACCAGGCAGTCGCAGGTTGCTTCCCAAGCTAATGCTGGTACCTATTTATACTCCTGGGTGGAGAGAGGCAAGCAGGGGTGAAGAGGCTTGTCAAGACCATACCATACTGCTAGCAGCTGGATTTGAACCTCACACCCTATGATTGGAAGTCACAGACCCTAACCACTTGGCCACATGTCCCCTTAACACTGTACATAGCAGCAAGTAGTTTTGTGTGCATTGTACAGTGCATGCATGTTATTGGTGCATTTTGGCTATCCCCCTCCTCCCCTGGCCCAGGGGCTGGCTATCCAGTTAAGCCTGGTAATATAAGGTACATGACACAGTGCAACCACGAGGTTCGTTCCCTGCACTTAAATTGTGTATACGTGAGATCGAGGCATTTGATATCTTGCCAAAATGGGCGGGCACATAAATGTAGTCTGGAACAACATCTCTTGAAACTTTGCCAGGGTGGGCCAATGCCAATGAAGACGGTTGCCTGGAAGGCGGGTACAGACTGGGGGCTGGCATTTTTTTGGTCATGGTCAAACCCTAATGTGGCAGGTAGCTACCACTGAGTTATGCATGATTCAGGGCCACTTCAAACTTTGCCAAGGGATGGGAAGAATACTCATCATGAAAGAGGCAAATTCTGAGTCTTTTTTCTTCAATTCCAAAAAATCACCTTTCCACATCAAGTTTATGCACGTTTTAATACTAGCAAACTTAAAAATTCTAATTTTTATTCTTGATCTTAACAGAGACACTATAATTTAAAAAGATTAGAGATTTAACATCATGGAGCCATAAAAAGTGCTCAAGTAGGTACATGTACCCGTTTCTCAAAGCTTCAGTAAATTGGTCATTGTTAAACTATTTCATGATGTCACTGCTTTATTCAAAGTGTAGATTATTTTTACGAATCTACAATTAGCTGTACATGTAGATTGGTAACAAATCTACAATTACTGAAGTTTCATTACAACGAGGAGATTACCCTCATGTCCCCCCGTTTCAATCAAAGCAGTTGTGGCCGGAGGGTTGGGTAAAGTATGACTATGGTTTGGTGCTGTGACACTGATTCTACTGGTCCTCTTAACAGGCATAGTAGGCAAATTTAAAGGATACCAGGAACACCCACACTCAGGCCCTGTTGTGTATGTTTGCCTTTCTCCATAGAATATAACATATTGTTATCTCTCGTTTTATTTTTTTCAGGATCCATGCTCTATAAAGCAAGATTTTCGAAAAAGATTTGAATTTTCTTTTCACCTTTAAATGAGGAATAAGTCTGATGTGTTTTGGCTACTTTTCTTTGTTTATGTTTTGCCCAGTCTTTCTGATATGTTGGATTATAGTGTAATTGAATTAACGCAAACTCAAGTACATCCTCTAGTTATACCAAGATCATACCTGTCCTGAGGTGACAGATCTATCAGGATTACTGCTCCCTAAGTTTGTGGTCCAGCACATTTATCTCAGTTCGTTTCAAATGGCTATCAAACATACTTGTATAATCTTGCTTAAAGAGTTAGCCTGTTATTCTTGTCTTGTTAATGTTTGTATAGTGCTATTAGCAATTTTACACGTACAGTGTAGGTGGACATGTGCGCTTTATAAAATTAGTTTTTGATATTATTGAACTCCAAAATTTGCATCGTCATTTGAATCCAAGTTGCTCATTCTCCAAACGAAATAGCAATATGTAGTAAGTGTGCATTTTGGAATGATTCATACATAAGAACGTGTAAGGATCAGTGAACCTCACTTTGAGCAGCTTGTAAAGTGGTTCTAAAAGAGCTAACCATACTGTCATGAAGTTGATATAGCACTCCTCAATTTCACAGAGTCCTGTAATTGTTTAGTCCGGAAGGCTTTGCTACAATGGCACACTTAATAATGAATCTAAGGCGCAAGAGGAAGAGAAGAGATTGTGTATCCAGCACTGATGGTGTTGATTGCACAAATACCGTGTTTCACGTAGACAAAACCCGTGCAAATCGAACAAAGGTGTCTACTCAGACGAAAGGTTAACAGAGAGAGCGTCAAAGACTCGGGACTCTGTGTTCGTGCAACAATGGGAAATGGTGTAAGTCAGAGAATAGAACTCAGAACTGAAGATTCGTGTAAGAATTGGCAAGGCGAGTCTTTGCACGAATCTAAAGTCCTCATCCATTCTCTATGACGTATACCAAGAGCATCTATCCATTGCAAACTAAAAGGATCTGATACATTAATTTTTGGCAGGTTGATAAGTTGAAGGGTAATTTCATAAAGCACATCTTGTGACACAAATTTTTTGCCATAGTTTGATGTTTGTGCTTTAAGTATATGTTCTATAAAAATCCTCTTCAAATTGCATTCTTTTCCTTGCTCTAGTTTTATTCATGACTTATAAAGCAAAGGCCATACATGTACAGTGTGTTCGTACACTGCGAATAGCCTTATTTGTCCCTCTATGTTCATACTATTGATAACATATGCAAACACTGCGTCATTTCTACAATCCCACAAACTGACTAACAGTGACCTCCTGCTTTCGCTGAACAACCTCGGAGGCCAAACACAGACACATCAGGTCTCCATGGTATGTAACGCAGAAGTCATGTTGTTACAAACATATATAGAGCACTTTTGCCTCACGTACATTTACCTCATTACTTTGCCTTTGCATAAGTTATTTCATTGTGGTGAAAACGTATTTTGGACGGTCCTTGGCAACCCTGCCAAATTACAGTGGCCGCATCGGCAAAATAGCGTCAACCTGGTAGCGAAAGTGATTTAACTATTTTACTCTTAACATTTAGACAGCAATTCTGTTTTTGTTTTTTAAATTATAAATTCTACTTACTGAAGCTAAAGCCTTTCCCAGTGTATCTCCTGTTTGTGAATTTCCCCCTCCTCCACTGGCAACATTTGTTGTTCCTCTTACACCTACATGTGCAGGGAAAATATTGTCATGAACAATAAAAGATTCAAATAAACATTAAACCTTCGAAAGGTTTCAGAACATTATAGAACTTAGAATTCACCTGAAAGACATATCTAAATCTAATTTGTGGTGAATATGTGAAACTAAACTTTACTTGAAAACAGTTGACAGAGGCGGTATACGTTTAGGTAATAAATATGTGCTTGGCTGGTTTTAACATGCATTTAAGACCGACTCATAAGAATGGACGCGACTTAGTCGCATCAGGTTCAATAAGGGGCCTCACCCTCAGCTTGGCCCATTATCATAAACAGGTCCCCATTGGGTCTTTAATGTATGAGTTTACAACCATTCACTTGTTGCACACAGAGTGGTCCATATCATTCATGAGTACACGTCCATGTGGGCATTCATTAGCAGTCATGTACAGTATACCAGCCACTGATTACCTGAATGCAACAGGCAATTAAACTTGGCAAGTCTTAAACCTTAGTTTAAGACCAGCCAAGCACATGTTTATATCCATTCATAAATATCGTTTTAGTCAGACAGTCAAAAGAACCAATATATGATAAATTTCCAAGGATTTTGTTCAAGAATTACACTGTTCATTTAATCATAAATCATTGTGCACGTAGTCCAGAAGAATTTCCTTATATGGATTGGGGGCACATATGGTGAGTTCTGCGTGCTGTGCGCACACAGTCTCTTGATCAATTGCAATGCATTAAACTGTTCCAGGTGCAAGCGCGTTATTTATGCAGTGGGCATTATCAAATCACATTGGGCATTATCAAATGTTCAGACATGGTCATGTTGGCGTCGTTGAATACGGAAACTAAAGTATTTATGAATGCTGAATAGTTATTATGAAATATCTTACCCTAAAGAATTTGAACAGTGTACGGTAGGTGGAGCTGTAAAATCTTTGTGACTGGAATACCGCTTGTCGTTTGCAAGGAAAAATTTTGAGCTGCTTTCCAACAGTGAGACAGATCATCGTTAGCAAAACGATAAACAGCCATTCAATTTCCACATAAATTTTTAACACAGGCAGTACATCAGCAGCACACTGAAGTCCATATACATGTATGAAGTGGGTGTAAGGATAAATTGTGCAGGCGTGTGAGTGTGTGGGTGTACGTGTACGTGTTGTAGACTCCTACAGTTTGTGTACTATACATGTACGTACATAAACGATCATACAAGCTACTAGTTGAGCTGTATGATGAAGTATTTTTGACAAATCTACAGTTCACGTGGTAAAATGACTTTGCTCTAGTCACAAGAACTGCAAAATTCAACTGTTTACTTCAACTCTATACAAATAATGGAGAAGTAGTTTCCATGGTAATATGACAAACTGATAACAAAACTCAACAGGATTTGTGTGTCTGTTGGTTTTTCATAATACTGTTGTTATTTAGTGAAGTTATCATGGGGCTCTGTAATGTAGTTGAGTCCATCAGAGGTCAAGCCAAGTGACGAGATATTCAAATGAACTGGACCAAGGATTCCTTTGTTTGCCTCTTACTTCTGAAAAAGGACTTGTGATAGACTGACTCTAAAAGTGAAGGGGCTTTCATGTGTAAGTTCTACAACGTGAGGGCAAAATGCTGTTCGCGGGTGCATGACACAGAAGTAGTACAAAACCCACAGGTTGCTCTTAACTCAAGTAAAAATCAACTTTACAAGTTAATCCATTTCAAGCAACCTATTACTTAAATAAATGTTATCAATTTGTAAGTTTGTTAAATCAAATTGCCCTTTAAACAGTGTTTCATACCTAAAAAAAAGTAGAAAGAAGAGTAGAAGAGAAAATCATCACACAGGTGGCTTTCAACTATTAATATTAAATACCTAAGATAGTTCAGTCATTCCTATTGGTTGAGATCACATCACATGACCTGTCTTAAATGAGTGACAACACACCGGCTTGTGGATGCACATACCATAGTACATTATAAGAAGGATCTTTCAAAAATTGAAGTAATACTGCTGAACAAAATCGTTGGAAATTTATCACTTTTAATTTGTTTTAACTTTCTGATTCATAAGGTATTTATCAACAGGAATAAATAAGTACTTGGTCAGTCTCCAACATTTGTTTAGACTGCCACAGGAGAATGGACGCTGATTTAATGTCCCTAGTACATGCCACACTTATTTCCATAAAATACATGCTTGGCTGGTCTTAAACTAAGGTTTAAGACTGGCCAAGCTGAATTGCCCGTTGTATACAAGTCATCAGTAGCGGGTATACATGGCCGCTCATGGACCCACACATGTACATTGTACATGTACTCATGAATGATATGGACCACTCTCTGTGCAACAAGTGAGTGGTTGTAAACTAGTACATTAAAATCCAAATAAGGGTCTGGTGATGGTAATGGGCCAAGCTGAGGGTGATGACCCTTACTGATGCCACGCCGTTCCTGGTTTTGTTGTATTAAAACTGCTGTATCACTCCTTTATTCCTTTAAGTTGGCCAATCCTTGTATCCTCTATCAAAACAACAAACTTACTTAATGTTGTGTCTGTTCCATTGGTAGGTGATGAGGTTGAATATGGAGAATGCGGATGCGTGGAGGAGGTGGTTGTCCCGGGTCTAAAGGTTGACATAGGAGGAAGACTCAAGGGATCCCGACTGGGAGACAAAGTGTGACTTTGGACGTGACCACCACTTTGACTCTGACCATACCCCTGTACAGAGAGAAATTTATACAACATACAGTACTAACATTCCACAATGGCACCATTTCTACTAACTTCAGGAACTCTAGGCTTAAACCTAGGATTATGTTACCAAGGTTCAGTAATCTATGGTGTTACAGTTTTTACCAATAAAATATGGTAACATATGGTTAGACTTTTTGTCACAAAATATTAATTAAAAACATTTGTTATTGCAGTACCTGTCCTGAATACATCATTAGAGAATGGTCATATGACTGGTCCATAAAAATGTTCATTACCTTTATCCTTTTTGCAGATCACATCATGAAATCAAACTAGTCCCCACCCCACAGCCCAAACCAGTAAACCTGTGATATGCATGTATCTAGGTCATGGGTGGGAGGAGTGGAGAAAGGAAATTTTTCTGAACACGACAGTCCAATTTATCCATCCATATGAGTCCTAACCCCCCCCACACACACACGCCCTCAGGCAGGTATATGTTACACACTCAGTGTGGACATTCCTTTATTTTGTGCAGAAAAGAAAAATTCTCATTTTCTTGAACTGCGACGACTATTTTCAACTGGATTTTTTTGTATGGCTTCCTTGACTGCTCCTCTGCCTTTTGCAACAGATAACCCTAACCCACAATGCCTCTAACCCTCTTTTTTTCAGTAAAGGTTAAATGTCCTGTGGACATAGGTAAGTCCACAGAACGTCCTTACTGCATCGTGTGGACATTTTTTGTTCAAGAGTCCACACTAGGGATGTGGTGATTGGTGTTCTTGTGGGATATTTCTTTTGTTCTCATGTACTACAAAATAAGTGTGTGAAGTGCAGTTTCTGTATTTCTCCCATCTGAACCAATCTATATATTTCTTGAATTGATATTTCGACCCAATATCCCTTATGTCAAATACTTCAATTTGCGACAAGTATACCTTAGAAATTCCTCCCTTTTAAGTAAGTTCCAAAATTCATTTCATGAAATTCTAGCAGGGTACCATTTAAGCACAAGGCCTAAGAATGTTCCTTGTGAGGTTTTTTCAATTATTCTGGTACCCACAAGGCACCATAAACACATGCCCCATTACGCACTCTTTCAGCAGTTGTGGGAGGGGGAACACACAATATTTCACCTATTTTGAGGGGCCCTCAAACCTTATGAGGTCAGAGAAACGTCCCCACAATTCAGAGATTCTAACATGTTTTGTGCGAGTACCCAGTCTCCATCACAAGTTAAGCAGGCCCTCTACATCAAATAAAATTGATCTACTTCCATTCTTCTGGAACGCCTTCCCAGCCTTAAGCTATTACAACTGAATGTATCTATGGATCCCTAATGTCCTAGCCATGGACTATGATCCCATTTGAATGAGATCTACAAACTACTGAGTCCTGTCCAATAACTCTATGATCCACATCTAGGTCAAAAGGTGAATAATTGTTAAGACAAAATCTTGGTATCATTTCTAAGGTTTGACATGGCCACTGGGTATCTGATCTAGCAACCTTCCAGTCAGTGGATCAGATCCTCGACCTAAATAATCAAATAGAAACAGGTGCAAAACCTCCTAAAATAAACACAAAATATACATCTTGAGATGCTCGTTAATTCAAGCAGAAAGAAAATAAGATTTTTTCAGTTTTATTTTCTTACCATGGGTTCATGTGGTGGGTATGTACCGGTAGTTTGTGACTGTGAATACGAAGAACCAGAGTTGCCTAAGATGGATGTAGAATGGAAGCTAGCACTGGATGGGGCCAGCCCATTACCGTTCCATGGATCTGTACTATGTGGACTGTGGGTGCCTGAAGTAGCATCTGCAAGTACACAGAGCAAAGAATCTCAAGAGCACAATGTTTTACTTAGACATACTCAATGCCAGTAAGGAATGGTGCATAGAAGCATTATAAAAACCAATCAAGAATAGCTGAAAATAGGAAGAGGATCTAATCAAAAGGAAACGTGAATTACATGATTTAAAATTCCGGTTAAGATAGTGAAAAGAAAAGTCTTTCATAGAAAGTGCAAAACAGAGCCAGGTGACTACTATAGGATCATAGGGCTTGTGTCAAGGAGAAAGACACTATGCTACAGAGGCTCTTATTACGTATTTATGCAAAAAAATTAACTTCAAGGGTGGAGATGGTAAAAGTTTTAATAGCAAGACCAACTCGGGAAAAGTTGGTAATGTATGCTCTTTGATGCTACCCGACAAAATGCACATCTTGAGCAAGAATTTAGTGATGACAAGTAATTTTAAATTGAATTTTAGAAGTTACCTGTGCATGTTTGAAAATCAATATGAAACCCCCATTACGTGCCTGTCAAGAAGCTAAAACTACAGCTTTTCTGTATGAATAAAACATCCTTGATGTTTTCCCTTTCAGAGTCTTCAAAACATTTCGTTTGAGCGGTTGAAATGCTTTACTCAACTTTGTGGTGGTATATTCAAATGAAGGGCAAGTTGTCAGCTAACTCTAATCCAATTAATGACGTCAGAGGACATTCTGTGGAGCTACATGTACATGTTGTAATTCAAAATGTGTACTGTTCCTACAGTGATAGTGACTCTTGGAGACAAGGTAACAATGGAGCTAAGTATCCATGGAAGGGTACCCCATCACCCTGTCCCATGTGCTTTATACGTAATATAGACTGCAAATATACATGTGTTGCATTATACACATTTTGTTTTGAGTGAGACCAATAATTACTTCTTGGAAATCCCTCCGGGAGTTGGACCAGTCAGTCATTGCTTTTGTGTTTTGTGAGATTTGCGATCTATCTCTGGAGACCCATTTCTTAAGCATGCAATAATGCATTCTGAGTGCCAGATACCAACAATGTACTAGTAACAGGACCGTACAACCACTGCATTGGACCAAGAATTCAATATTTCTTAAAATACTGTCCATGCAATGTATCTTTTCTATAAGGCAAGGGAAAAACATGTAGCCAGGTACACATTATTAACCACTTGCTGCCGGGGAGCCTGGTTTCGGGCATGTATTCTTTATACGCATAGCTTGGGTCTCTGAAATCAGAGGGAACTGGCCTTGTAACCAAAGACTGTACTCGTAACAATAGACCAGGCTACTGAGAATCACCAACTTTTTTCACAGTCAATAGTAGAAATAATCCACATTTTTTTGAAACAGTATACCACTGTTTATGGGCATTTAGTACGAGCGGATTACCGCTGGGGACAACAGCCTTCCACCACCACAGCGATGAGCCACACAGCACTGCTGCATGTTAATCTGGCCCCTATTGAAAAGAGGTCAGCAGCACACTGTGCTAGTTTCGTGAACGTATTAAAATTACGTACTCCAGTGTCAATAGATGTTGTCTGTCAGGTTAGAATAGAAACCAGACAGTCCTTTGCGTGGTGTAAGTGTCCAGTAAATGAAGATATGACTTTTTAAAGATTTTTGAAAACAGAAAAAAATAAAAAATATTCTGGCCCAGCAGAATCAACATTTATACATGTAAATGCCCCCACCAGGATGTGGTTAACTCTCTTTAATTTGCTGTCCTGGTTAATTCTCTCAAATTACTTGGTTAAATTCCATGTATACCTCTTCCCATAATTCTTTGTATTTCTTAGTGTCACAATTTAGATATTGCTTTTTTGTAAATGTTTTTACCATGTCATTTTCCTAAAAAGGCGGTGTCTCTATCAGTGTTGTAGGTCTCGAGACCTGGTCTCGGTCTCAAGACCTTTTTTGCGGTCTTTGTCTCGCCCTATCAAAGTCTCGGTCTTGGGTCGGCTTGTCTCGGTCTCGAAAGCGCCGGTCTCGGTCTTGATCTCAGATGCCATAGTCTCGGGTCTCCCCCTCGAGACCAGTTGAGACCATAACAAAATGCCCATCTAGCTACCACATATGCACACGGTTGCAGAAGGCAAAATTACCTCTGCTCGAGTCAAATCTTCAACCACTGATATAAATACAGCATAGCAATGTTCAGATTTTTGCAATAAACAATGAAATCAATGCTGGAATGAAGACTAGACAATGCAGCATGATGCAACCTTGTCCCAAGTTGTTACTTTATTTCCAATCCAGAGTAGCCATGCTGCTTGACACCATGGAGATGAGGGTGTGAGTAGCGGAATTCACACACTAGACTGGTTCCCTTTCCCTACGTAGTCTCCTGCTGAACGTAGGGCCGGGACAGGAACCAGTCTGTGTGTGTGCACACTATGAATTGTGTGCATGTGTGAAAGTGTTTTCATTCCATCTTGTATGTGGTATGTGTTGTTTTAGTAGTTTCATTACAGTATATCTTTTTTGGATATTTGTTTTTCAGTATTTTGCTTAAAAAACAGTCTAAGGATATTTGTTTTAATGTTCACATCATATCATTTGGGACACTCGGGTTGAAAATGACCACACTAGACCAGGGTTAAAGTAGAGCAGTATAACTGATAAAAGAACTGAGACATTCTTTAACAAATATCTGACCTATTTGTGTGTGTGAGTTTATGCTAATGTTTTCATTTTATTTCTTTTGTACTTAATTGTACTGCCATATATTTGTCCCTATTTACCTTTTGGTAAAAACTAAACATTGGTTTATGGTTGGTCTTGGTCTCGGATGTCGTGGTCTCGGTCTCAACCTGCGAAAGTCTCAGTCTCGAAGTCCTGGTCTTGGTCTTGAAGGAGTAGGTCTCGGTCTTGGTCTTGTATGCCTTGGTCTCGGTCTCTGTCTCGGACATCACGGTCTCGGATACAACACTGGCCCCTATAGTTTGGCTTAAAGATCTATATATGTTGGTGGCGGAGCATCAATTGTCGAACACCTCTTCGTACCGACTGATTGACCATGACTCACCCCTGTGACCAGGGCATTGTGCCTGAAACCATCAAGGCCTTTGGTGATGCAGGGGAGCAAGCCACTAATAATGTAGCTAAACTTATCACTCTATTTCCCAGAACCTGTTTTCTATAGGCTTCCATAAATGAACGAGACAGATAAACCAGGCCAGGTCATTGTCTGAACATGCAATTGCCCCACTGAGTTTATTTGCAGGTACATGTGCATGTTTTGTCAACTATAGCCAGCCAATCGCCCACCTATGTCAAAGACATTACTGATGTTCTTCACAGGCCTTTCTTAACATTTATGTAACTTTAGGCATCTAAACTTAATATGGAGCTACGGGTGTTAGATTTTCACAATGACAGCAAAGCACTGCTCAGTGCCACTGTGTTCCTCCAACAAAAGAGTCACCCCCAGAAATCAGCTTCCACCGATTTCCATAGGATAAGATACTGTGAAAAGAGTGGGTTATTGAGATCAGGTGAAATGAGAGACCATTTCTCAAGGTAGATTTTGAGTTCAGAAAGCTTAGTTTTGGAGCATGCCACAGTGTGTGCAAACCATAGTGGCCGTTGATGTCAAAATGGCCAAGGGGACTGGAGATGCAAGACATCCCACCAACATTATAACACAAGTTTTGCTTCTTGCTGTATCTTGAAATGCTTGAAGAGGATATCTCTGGCTGCCAAATTCAGTGGGTGGTACATGCAGGTCAGCCCAAGGGAGTATGATCACACTGTTTGGGAGGGGATTGCTTCATGGCAGCTTCCCGGGTGATATTCTGTGAAAAGCAGCATCTGTAACAGACGGCAGATATCCGCACTGATGGAAGAACACATAACTTCACACCGTTGTTGTATCATTGCATCCTCGTGGCAAATTTGGTGGAGGTGCAGGGATATTCTGTGGGAATCGTATCTTTGCATTTATTGGGATAAGACAAATCATAGTGTAGGCAGCTGTGGCATGTTCTACATCAGTGAAACTAAGCACTGTCTGGCTGACCACTTTCCAGAACATCCCTGAAGTGTGCGGCTGAAACTATCTGGCCTGGAAGTTATCCAAAACTTCAGCAAGCCATTACTCTCAGCAAAGAACATGAGCATCTGTGTCGTTACAACAGCTTCTTCAGACACGTCGCACAAATCTTCGTAACAATGTGTGATGTTCAAACTGGGCACACTTAGAGCCAATGATTTTCTGCTATCGCGGAAAATGGATGGAATTCTCGGAATAATTTGAAATGGAATCCACTGCTTGAAATGGAACTTGCAAAATTTCCCTCAAAGAATACCTTAAAGAGTAAAGAAAACTATCTGAAAAGTACTAAGAAATAAATGCCTACCAAACCCTATTCAAATGCTTGCTTTTAATGAACGAAATACCGGTACGCTGGAAACATGCTAAATTGCACCACTCCACAACATGATTGGGTCGTCCACACTGCGCCAGTGCTGATACTTGCAAGCACTATGGTGTGCGTGGGCCCAATGCATGCAGTGGCAGCCGGCACAGCACAGCGGCGCGGTACGGTACACTGTGCATACACACAGCGGCTGTTTACAAGCGCACTGTACTAGCAATGAAATCAAGGCGTAAACAAGTCCTTACTCACACATATGACTATTGCACACGTGGGGAATTAAGTCTGGGAATCCGCATGGATGCCTTGAGACAAGGCTAGTACTGCATGGCAAAACAATGATACTGCAGGCCCTCGGAAGTTTTCAATAGAGTGCAGTTTTCAGTCACAAACATACATTTTAAGGCTCAGATTTAATGTTAACTTTCTGAATTTTGTCGCACTACTGCCAAATAAAATGGTGGGTTGATGTCTAACATTAAAATATTGTGATCAGCGACTGTTACATGTAAGACCTACTATGTGACTTCACTGTACATGTACATGTATGTAATCTGATTTCATACACAAGGAGTGGCACAGGAATTATCCCTTGATTAATCGTAGCAAGTTTTTTGGCGATCACGTGCCGGTGGAAAATCAAGGGGTAAGGTGTGCAGTATGTATTGCCCTGATTTTTGTTTTAATTTTCACTGCAGAAATGAAAAAAAAGTTGGAAATTTTGCAGAGTATTTCCAAACAATATTTGTTGTTGTTATTTTTGTTGATTTTCATTCGTTTTTTGAGGGGGTTTCCATGCACAGTTTAAAACTTGCTGTCCTATTTCATGCTTACAAAGGTATGAATACTGAAATGGAATTTGAATTTCTGAAGCGGAATTCGGGATTTGGCGAAGCAGAAAATACCCATTTTTGAAACGGAAAATCATTGGCTCTACACACTCCACCCTGACAGGATGAATGTTGAATTCACTATGCTTATTCCACCTCGATGCTTGCATTTTAGCGGTCCTGAGAAGCATAAATTTCTGTTGGAGTGTTGCTGGGTACACACAGCCGAAAAAATCTCAGGTTGAAAATTCTGGGAGCACTGCATCAGAAACCATTCAACACCTTTTCTTGAGGGCAGAGCACCATCAGCTATAGTCGTAGTTCCAAGACCTCTGGTAGTTTATTCCATGATCACACACCATCACTGTTAGAAGGTGCTATGTCCAGACAAAACACTATCAAAGGAAGGTCTTTGATATTTTGTTTGATTTGGGGTAGCAGACTATAGTAATAATGTAGGATACGCATTACTCAAATCCCTTGAGTGATAAAGCAGAAATTAAGCAAATGACTTTCAAAATCCTTCACGTTCAGACATGAAGTTTTCAAACTGAAGTAGAAACCAACATGGTTTTCTCAGATGCTCAGAGCAAGGCATACAAAATATCCTTGCATAGTCAAGGGGC